TATTGCTCGCTACGTAAAAAATTGGAAATGTGAAAACGATATATTTATAATAAAAAAAAAAAAAAAAAAAAAAAATGAAAATTGGGCGTTCTCGTGGTTTGCTTACGAGAATGAGAGTTGAACGTGGCCGATGACGAAAGAGTCTGCTCGTGGCAATGTTTACGCGAACAGCGCCCAATTAATAATTATATATTACGCAATTATAAAGAACTTTTAATCATGTTTGATCTTTATTTATGGATATTTGCAGAAATTTGTGGTTTGCTGAATCTTGTCACAACTTTTTGAATGTGTGGAACTTGATATACATATACATATATATATGTACATATTACGGACATATATATATATGTATACCTTTTTTCATCGTACCACTGTACTCATTGTATAAATTACACATTCACCGCCCGAAAGCAATGACGATTTTCTTAGTTGATCTGAATGAGAATCAAATTCAATTGGATTAACTTGTACGATTTATAGAGCAAAAACAAAAAGAAAAGAACGAAAAGAAATTGTCTCACATAATCGGATTTTAATTACTTGGGCTTGTTTTTTAACACCATTTTTTGGAACAATCCATTTACCCTACTTATTCCTGGCTTTATTTTAGCTCTGTTTTTTGTCATTTATTTATTTATTTTTTTTTTTTTTTTTCTTGATCTAGTCGAACCTGAATGTTTCATAACTGTGTATGTGGTAATAGTATATTGCTTGCGAATCTTTTAAGATTTTCTATTATTATTTTCGAATTATCACGATGCTTGTCGATCCTCGAGATTGTTAATCGAGGAAATTAAAATTGAGAGTTTTATCTTGCATACGTCCATACGAGATAGAAATTATACCGAAAGATAACATTTTTCTGATACAATCGTTCAATGCATTTAATTCTTCAAACACTTGATGTCAGTTCATGAATATTCAAAGGTTCGACTATTTAGACGAATGTATTTGGCTTTTACCTTGATTGCGTAACGCTATTTGCTTTGAGATCGGTTTCGTATATCTTAGTTTAGAAGTAAAGGTAGGTCGATCAACGCGAGTTTTCATTTGAGAATAGTTTCTCATTTTATTCTTGTTAATTCTTCTTTCATTTTTTTCTTCGTCTTTCTTTTCCCAACTCTCTCAGACTGACTGTCCGACGATTCTTTTGACTGTCGAACATTACATATCATCCGTAGTGGCTATATTGTTTAGACTCGTTTGTATTTTTCTATGTATTATTTCAAAGAAGATGAAAAGAATTCGACAAGTCGAATTTTCGTTCGTTTTTGTTTCTCCTTTTTTTTTCTTCAACGTGATTCTTTGTCTGTTTCTTAAAAAAAAAAGAAAAAAAGAAAAAGAACAAACAAAAAAGAAAGAACCATTGCTCGAGACGTTTTTCATTTTAATTATATTAGTGACAAGATATACCACAGATTGCTCCATGTCAAATTCCAAACATATATACATATATATATATACATATACATGTATATATATGTATACATATATATATATGTGCTGTTGTTTATTTATTCACAATTAAGGTACCAGAAGTATAGTTTGCTAAGCTATTCTCAAGTGTCTCGCTTTCAATTACGTTTCTTTCGAGAATTCTTGGAAGTTCAATTCTCTGATCGTACAATCCCGTTTTTTTGAATATAATTGACTGTTCAAGAAATTACGTACAAAAAAGAAACAAAAAAAAAAAAAAATTGATGGATAGATGGATTTTCGAAAGAGCCGTAAATGTTTTTACTATGAAGCCTGTCTTGTACCACTGAAGTTTACGCGGACATGCATTATTAATTTCTTCGTTGATTCTCTTTATTTTTTTCACTCTTTTTTTCTTGACACGTTTCGATTGCAACTTTTGCTCTCTCCACTTGTATGTGACGTATATATAAAATTGTAAACTGCTGTAAACTCTAAAGGTAACAAGAAGGCAACGATACCGTTTTTTCGGTTATTTCTTTTCACCATTATTTAGTGACTAACATTGTTTGAGCTTTGAATAGTACCTTGATAAAAACGGTGTATGTCATGTGTAAGATATACTTGGGTGTGGGAGTACCACTTTTGGAATCAAGGCATATTTGACGCGTCGTATCCGTTTGAAATTTGATCAACTTGGGAGGAACGATACGTTCGCCTCGTTAATAAATGCAAACGTGTAATAGAAAAAGATTTGCGTCAAAAATGTTTCGATGCTGAGGACATGAATTATACGATCAACAGGAGACAAAGAGGGAACTTACGATGCTATGCATCTCTTCGAAAAGATTGATAAAGGATGGAAGTGTTCCGATGTTCCCTGTTGCGCGATAATTCATGTTGTCTCTTATCCTTTCTGGCAGTGGTACCACGTACCGTTGGCTTAGATCAAACCTACGGCCAACAAATTGAACGGACTTGCATTTTCCATTGCATGTGTTACAGCATACCCGGTGACACCTCATCCACCAACAGGTTTTGTCCCTGCGCCGGCACAGCCTGCTACCTACGGTAGTACACGTAAGAGAATCATCTCTGTGTTTCGATGTGTCGATCCCGCCAGGTTTCAGTGATCCGATTATATGCGAGTCTTACAATAGTTGCAGGTGCCGCACCGTACGGAGTATTTCCTAATCAGCCACAGCTGTATGCAGCGCAAGGACCACCGCCGCCGACATACGATCAGACTCTTACTCATCCGATGGTAAGGACATTGTTGCATCCCGTTGTCTATCGTGGGGTATTCTATGAATTAATTTGTTCTACGACCTTGTAGCATTTGTTCGTTACAGGAAATATATATTGTACATACATATATATTTAACATACATATTTTAAATATTGTAAATAATTTATTAACATATATATTTAACTTTTTAACCTTGACTCATTATCTTCGTTTAAAAGATTAAGGCTAGAACATATGAATATATCATACATGGACGTACACATGTATTTATAAATTTGTAAATTGTATTTTCCTGCGTTAATTGTAATATATTCATCATAGGATACTTCACACGAGAAATTGCTTTCAGAATCTTTGATTAATTTGTATGAACTAGATGTATCAACCAATGTACGGCCAAGGATACCCGGGGTACTTAGCGGGTTATCCTGCATACGGCCCGTTGCAATATTACCCACCATTGGCTGCAGCTGCAGCGTATTACCCTGCAGCAGCAATGCAACCTCCAGTTAGGCCTCCTACACTCGTCATGCCTGTAAGTTATTGAAACCTATATATTGAATATCTTTTATCTATGACGTACAAGAGTTACTAATCTGTTGAATTCTTTTGAAGAATGGATTCGATGCGACTAATCGATTTGATAGTATCTCACAACCTGTCTTGCCACCACCTCCGACAGTTCCAAACGCCGCCCAATTAGCTGCAATGGCGAGTCACAGCGTGGCTATATCGCAAAAGAAAAATTTCCTAGGAGGAGGAACAGAAGGCGGTTACACCTTTTGGTAAACCATTAAACCTTTTGTGAAACACTAAGTCTAAAGAAAGGCATTGTTGTCGAGATGATCCATGTAGGCAAATCTGAATTTATGTTAGAGTTCTACTATTTTTCACATTGGGAGCAGCTATTAACTTAGTATATCTTGTGCGCGGACCGATCGCACTCTCTAATTCACGATATTCGAAAACATGCTTAGTATATTTTCTGTTATTTCTTTTTTTTTTTTTTTTTTTTTTTTTTTTCTCTTTTCGTCGCTTCAAGTATGCACTGCAACTTGATAGTGACGAAGACAATACTGGAAGAAGTTGACAATGTCAAGTGCTTTTAGTTTAGAGAATCCATGAACATTGGAAAAGACCAAGAAGCCAGAGGTAATAAATATCGAACAAGATCGTTGTATTATTTAAAGAAGACAATACTGAAGAACAATTGACGATATATAGTACGTCTTTTAATTAAAGAAATTCCTAAATTAAAATGTAGATGAATAATTTTTTGTCTAACAGAGACCTTATCGCATTCATGTTTCGATTTTAAGAAACATGTTTTTCCATTGTGTTATTTGGTCATAGGGAAACCTCACTTTTATGTTGTATTACCGGTGCAGAGAAATGTAAATCATAGTCGTTGATTTACAATAGTCAAATTTAAAATATAACGCGAGCTTAAATGTTAGATTTCAACAAAAATGATCAAAACGACCAATTTACAATTTCTCATATTTATAAATGTATCTTTAAAGACATGGATGATTTTTACTAAAATATATAGATAAATAATACTAAAAATACTTACTAAAAATATATATATTAGATTTTAACTAGAATTATCAAAGTAGTTAAAACCAATTTACAATTTCCCATATTTATAAGTGTATTTTTGGAGACCTGGATAATTTTTACTAAAATATATAAAATTTTCCCCATTCCTTGCACTTCAGTTTCTCTACCAAAAATTTTACGTAATACTTCAATCTATAATTCTGATATTAAACATAACAGTTGATAATACATGTCCCATCATCTCGTTGCATTACGAAATATACGTTACTTCTTCAACCCTTATGAAAAACGTATGTATATATATTTCATATATTTTTATATATTTCATATATTTCCTTACTATTAAATTTTTTTTTCTTACTTTCTTTAAAACCTCTAAATCTTTCTTACCATGACACATTTACTAAACCGACCTAACACAGAATTCACGTAACACAAGCATCTCCAAATATCTGAATATCTGATAATCGTTTCGATCTTTTCGCGCGTTTTCATCAAAGAAACATCATCGTCTTCTTTCAACTGTTCGACAAATTAACTGCGCGAGAAACCGTGCGAGCTCGACGGCAAACTTCTCTTCGCGAAACTTCTCTTACGCGATTCGATCGCCGATGGAAGGGAAACGCGCGGCGCATTGTTTCGCGCGAAACGCGCCAACTTGCCAAGATAACGGCTGCGTTTAATATGCCCACCTTCCCTCCCCCCCGTCCCCCTTGCACGCACGTCACGATACGCTGCGTGAGATTTATCTTTCATTAGTAAGTGATTTGCATTGAATAGACACGTTATGGGTTAACGGGTGGCTCGTTAATTGTTTGTTCCCGTTCCCTGTCTAACTGGCTGACGTCCGATACGCTGGCACCGCGCCGTGACGTCTTTGACAGGCTACACTGTAGATATTACGGCGGTACCGGGGCGCTGCAGGTATGCGAAAAGGTGTAAGAGAGCGAACCGCAGCCCACGGCAACGAGGCGTGGTCGCTGCAATTACCTCGATAGAGTTACAAGGCTTGTTTTATGCTCTCGCACAAATTTATTAGCCCCATTCGCGTCAGTTTAATTACGAACACGATCCGCCGCGATTCTTTCTCTTCTCTCTCTCTCTCTCTCTCTCTCTCTCTCTCTCTCTCTCTCTATCCTGAAGAAAGCCACGGACAAGTCGCAGCTACCGCGTTCGAATCTTCGTTGCCCGACGATTTCAAGAACAACTGTTGAAAAGACGCTCGACAGCCGCGATGTCTTCCGTGGTCTTGGAAACGTTGAAAGTCCTGGAAGTTACGGAAGTTTTGGAATTCTTGGAGATCTTCCGCTGGCTACTTCGACAAACCTCGACCTCGTCACGTACTCGATATGTATCACCGAAATTTTCATCGAAAGTTTACATACACAGGATCGTGCAATAGCTTTGAAAAGTTCTAATGCTCCCGACGAGATTCGTCAAAGTATCCGAGGATCTTCCAGGACTTCCAAGACTTCCCGGATCATCGAGATCCCCCGAGGGATTACCAAAATTTTCAAGACGAGACTTCCGAGGAGAATCGAGACTTTCAACAACTCAAGATCCAACGATATCCTCGAGAATTTCGAACTTTGAGTCGTATTCGAAACTTGTTCATATTTTTCGCTGTATATTTACGATGAAAAGATTTTTACAAGTTTTCATAGTGACAGTCATTATTATGTTTCAATAACGCAACTGCTTATCTTTAAAAAAGTTGCTCGAAATATTTACTAGTGTGCAATTTCGCAATTTATTTAGAGTTCCAATCTGATGTACAGGGTGACCCATTCCAGGTTCAACTTTTGAAAGGCAGTAAACCATCTTGAATGACCTTGAAACACTAACATATGATAGGATGAATTTGTTTTCTATATAGCTTCTTTTCTTTTTTTTTTTTTTTTATTTAAAAGAACGAAAATTTTGAAATTTCGAAGCGCGTTCATCTAGACTACTGTAAGATGTTCCCCTTGAAACAAAATAAAAAGTTTTACTCGAAATTATAATTAGTTTTCTATAACAAATGGTTTAGGTTAGGTTTAGGTTAGGAACAGAATAAAAAGTTTTACTTGAAAATTATGATTACTTTTCTATAACAAATGGTTTAAGTTAGGTTTAGGTTAGGAACAAAATAAAAAGTTTCACTTGAAATTATAATTACTTTTCTATAACAAATGGTTTAGGTTAGGAACAAAATAAAAAGTTTCACTTGATAATTATAATTACTTTTCTATAACAAATGGTTTAGGTTAGGTTTAGGTTAGGAACAAAATAAAAAGTTTCACTTGAAAATTATAATTACTTTCTATAACAAATGGTTTAGGTTAGGTTTAGGTTAGAAACAAAGTAAAAAGTTTCACTTAAAATTATAATTACTTTTCTATAACAAGTGGTTTAGGTTAGGTTTAGGTTAGGTTTAGGTTAGGAACAAAGTAAAAAGTTTCACTTGAAAATTATAATTACTTTTCTATAACAAATGGTTTAGGTTAGGTTTAGGTTAGGTTCAGCCGCCCAATATTCGCACTTGAATATTGACAATAGCTGTCGAATGCACAAATATGCCCAGAAGCCCAAAAGCAACTGTTACTCTGAAACCAGGACACACCTACATAACTCTTCTCATTATGGATCCTACAAATTTATGATACACCCTATTTACACAGATCTCGATCGATTTCTAAGGTGCTTCAAATTCCATCATTGTCCATCATTATCGACCACTTTGCGAGGTAAAATCATGAAACTTTCGTCGAGGCTGCGACACACTGTACATCTTGAAAATCCCGCCGAATTATATGTTATAACCACGTATAAATTTCACAGACAGAAACCACGTATAAATTTCACAGACAGAAAGGTATCAGCGGCTCGATATAAATCGCTCTCGTTTTACGCTGGACGCATTCCTCGAAACTTCTACGGTAATTAGTTTCACCGCTAAACGCTTAGCGGAACCGGAGAGGCTGCTAACTGCTTTTCCACCTACGCAGCACACCTCGCACTTCGCCTCACCAACTACGTACTTTCCCTCTTTCTCTCCTCGCCCCCTAACTCTCATCGTTATTCCGCTCGCTTTTTCTCTCCCCTCTTCGTTCCCCTAAATCTAGGCGCGGAGTTGGTCTCTCGCCGCGGCGCTAATCGCGAGCAATTAAGCGGAGCAAAGCCAAGGAACATTATGAAATTAATTATGTCGTGAGATTGAAGTGGGAGCAACGCCGGCGTGCAAGGTGTAGATAAGCATTTAAATCGACGCGTTCCTGAAGTATTATGCACCTCCTCAGCCAGCGCGGATATCGCTGCCCGCGATAAACATTGATTTTATTACTCGGATCGGCCGTGTACACGCCGCGCGGAGTGGCTTTTACAGTCGCGCGAGCGAGTAACTAATTTACATGTACTTTTCTCGGTTGCTTAGTTTATCAACGCTCGTTGTTCCGTGCGCGATCCTTCTCGATAACTCTCCCCCTTCCTCCCCACGGTAATTACGCCTTTAATAGCCAAACGAAAGAACTAACCTGTCAGATTCTTGTCGAAACAGCGCAATTTTACGACGTTTTGATTTATCCATCGTTTATCTCTGATTCCACGATAACGCAATAAAGACGATAAAGACGAACGAGATGTGGAAGACGTATTTTGCAAGTCCAATGAGGGATGCACGTTAATAGACTACGAATTTTATTTATAGGGAATTTTTAAATTTTAAGAAGATTTATGATTTTAAGAATCATTCTATTGGGAGCGTTCTTTCCTGACATTCTCGAGAATTGCTGACAACTCTTTCTGACTTACATTTTGTATCATTTTGTATCATTTTCAACTTTCATCGCAAGTGTATGTTAACCTCTTGCGCTGGAATGACGCAGAATTTTTTTGTCCCAAATTTTTTGCGGCAGTTTCTAAATTTTTAGTATATTTAAATGTAACCCAGGCGAAACAAATGATAACTTTTATAATATCTTTTAATTTTATAGGAAGTATATTTTATTTTATCATTTAATTTTATAGGAATTATATTTTATTTTCTAATTTAGTTTTATAGAAATTATATTTTATTTTATAATTTAATTTTATAGGAATTATATTTTATTTTATAATTTAATTTTATAGAAATTAGATTTTACTTTATAATTTAATTTTATAAAAATTATATTTTATTTTATAATTTAATTTTATAGAAATTATATTTTATTTTATAATTTAATGTTATAAGAATTATATTTTATTTCATAATTTAATTTTATAGGAATTTTATAAGAATTATATTTTATTTTATAATTTAATTTTATAGGAATTATATATTTAATAATTCCTTCTTAATAATTTCTATCCAGTGATATCATACCAACGAGTTCGAAAGAAAAAGAAACCGACGAATTATTGTATTCGGTCACTCGTTGAGGCGTTAAATTACACGTATATACTTTCCGCAATTTTTCCTTTTTTTTTCTTTTAACAAACGAACGAAAGAA